ATATGTCACTCCTGAAACTTTGCTGCATGCAAGTTACAAGTTATGTGGCTGTTGGTCCTGTTAGCAGCACGTAAAACAACTTTTATTTAAATTCTGAATCGATTATAGGCTGGAAAGCCAGCAAATAGCACTTTCATCTAACGCTAATCACTAAAAAGCTGTCACTCACTTCAATTTATCGCAATCTCACGATTCCGTGATATGAAGCTCTCAGAACTGCAAATAATATCTTATTTACATCGTGTCTATGTGTGGCGTTTAGCATTCAGTGAATTCTGACTGTGTCACCCTGTATCTATTTATATATCTTTTTTAATATCTTAATATATTATTATATCTTATATTAACCATTTGCACACACGAGCATTATCCGGCTCCGCTCCTCCCGACCGCAGACGCAGGTTTACAAGCCACTTTTTCCTGCTTTTTTCAGTCAATTTCTTGACTTTTTCCCCTTTATGAACAACACATTTTCGTACACGATAAAAGCTCCTTGTGGTTTCTCGGTTTGGTCGATTTGAGCATCCATAAACAACGCAAAACACAGGCATTTTGAGTTTTGTTAGTGATTTCTATGGAGAAAAATCACTTCCTGCCCTCCAGCTGCATTTCGCGCGTCATCAGAATCACATGATTACAAACCACCTATACTCGAGTAAATTTTAAGTATGTGATTATGTAAATATTTCATCGCATTTAGTTGCAACTATCTTGTTGCCAGGCAACAAAAAAGCATGTCGCTGCAGGAAGAGTTTGCCAACAGTTTTACTTCCTGTTAAAAACACAAACACAACATCAAAGAAAAACTTTTCGACTTTCTTCCAAGGCAATCCATGTGAGAGGAGGATTGACTGTCCTCTGAGGTCAGTCTCTCTGCGTTGTTAATGTCAGACTGATTAGACTGTGTCAGACTCAGATCACCGGGGGAGGCTGCCTCCTCCAATGCTCCTCCAGCCTCCTTGAGCAGCAAAGAAATGTCAGACACACACCAATCAGGCCTCTAATTGCTCAAGCTTGATAATTAACCCTCAGTTGGAGACTAAAGCATGACATCTGCATGCCCACAGTCTCTGACCTAGACAGACGCTCCAAATGGGCTGTCTGCTCTTTATCCATTGGAAACAAAAGGCGTAGAAAAAACTATATATACTACACAGAATATAATCACCTCAAGTCCTTTGAACCGTGATTTTTCCTTCTTTCAGGATCAGATCAGATCTCAGAATATGCTATTGTCACGCTGCATTCGACTCTATCAAATCATGGCTCAGCAGAGGAGAGCTAACCTCATTTCCAAAGGTGGTCTGTGATACAGTGAACAAGGTTATAGCAAGACCTGTTGTTCTATTTCTGGACTATACAATGCATTGTGAATATTAAAAAGTTCTTAAGATGTGGTTGCTGCTCACAGCTCAGGCTTAGTTCAGTTAGCTTAGGAAAATTGAAATGAATGTTTCCAGTTAGAAAGGATGAGACTAAAAGCACATGATGTGAGTACTTTGCATTTAATAATAAAGTGTCTATGCTAGCAAAATGTCAATATGAAATGTGAAGCCACAATTTCATCTGCATTCCACAAAAAGAGGTGCTCATTTGGTTTTTGCCTGAACTTAAGATTTCTTGCAAGTACAGTATAAGCAGAAGTTGCCAGCATCATTCATGTTGGTGGTGTCTGGTGGAGTGAATTTTGGATCTGGATTAGGAAGCTGTGTTACAGCAAGATAAAGTAGGCCACAAGCTAACACTCTGACCGGCACATTGGATGAAATTTTTCTAATATTAAAAAAATATATGATCCGGGGAGAGCCATAGGAAGAGAACTTTCCTTGAAATCCAGTTAATATCATAGCACCTGTATCACAGGGGAGTTAAAATTAAAGATTTGTTCAGTTTTAATGGACAGACATGTTGTCAGAGTTATTATTCCAGTGATTCCTGAGTACTGGGACAAAAAATAAATAAAAAATAAACAAGATAAATAAATAAAACAAACAATTAATGATTACAGAATTATCTACCATTTTCTCACTTACTATGGGACTACTATCAGATACAATATTTAATTAACATACATTAAATAAATATTGATTAATCAAGCATTTTGACAAAAATAACCATACTTATTTTTCATATCACACATGTATTAAATGTATTGAATTTCTTTTCTTTTTTGTATTGCTAGCTATTAATAGGAGCAACTTAAAACATAAAGAAAATTATCTAAAAACCTCAAACAAGTTCTTTACAATTTGTGCAACGAGTTATTCGCATAATGTTGTGAATGTAGCCAAAGCATTACGTAAATCTGTAAAATAAATAAACGCTATAGCAGAACCTGTGACATTGTGGAACTGATAAAATATGAAAAGAAGGACTTCCGAGTATAAAAACTGAATTAGATATTGATATTACATAAGCACAAAAAATGTTTTTATGCAAATATCTAACAGTGCTGGAAAAAGCAGGACTAAGTTGAGATGAGATAATATATTAAATTATCCCAGATTTCAGGAACGTGTGATTTTTCTTTACATGATTTAGGCCAACCTCTGAAATATGAGTAATAAGCTTCAGGGAAAAGTTGGATCTGCGAACAAGTAGCTAAATTAATAAAAATAATGCTTCATTGAATCCTGACAACATTATTGCAACATTTTAAACTTTGAAACAAAGCAATTACTCCAGATAAAGTTCGCTCACCTTTAGGACTGAGTTAACGTGGTGAGGGTCCAACACGCCCCCCCTGCGCGAAGTCAAGATGACCCGGCCATATCTGCCGGGTGTTTGCAAATCCGAGTAGAGCGTGTGTTTGGATCGGTTTACGGGGAACAAACTATCCACCAAGTTCCCCTCGATCTTCGCCAGGCTGTGTTTGGGGGCTAACAGGTACTCCACGTTTTCCTCTATGCGGTATCTGCTGAAGCTCGCGCCCAGCAGGATGGAGATCAGCACGGGCACAGAGGCAAAAAACACCGGGTGATTGGCGACAAAGTGGCCCAGTTTGTGGAATGACGTCCTGAGCCCTTCGTGCAACACTTGTCGCAACATCCTAGAATGCAGCAACAGCGCAAGGGCGATGAACCAGCATCAGCATCAGAGATCCGGAGCATCAGTGTTCAACCCACGCAGCTGGATCACTGAAATGATGAAGCGTTGCGTTGAATATCATCAGGTCCTTCTGGGTCAGAGACATTTTGTTAGTACTGCATTTACTTTACTTTTAAGAAAAAAATAAAAAAAAAGTCAGAATGAAAATGCATTCGAAACGCTGCTGCGTTGGGTGATTGTTTGCATGTGGCAATATCAGTGTGCGCATTATTCAGAGACTTTCAAAGGGGACGACATTTCTTTCAGTATTTTGTCAGTAATTTTGGGGCGCAGTCGGTTGAGGTTCGTTTAGCTCAACCCAAACGGTATTTGGCGTCGCTTGTAGAGTTAGGTAACCTGTAAATAGGCTACCTCAAAGACGTTTTAAACAAGACGCTGAAAGGGTTTGTCACATGCAAATCTACAATGAAGTCATAAATAATGAGACTATTATGATTTATCGATGTACCATCGCACATCGAGAAGCGAAAGCGCTCGAGTAGCGAAACGTTGCTATGGTTATCTTCTCAGAAAAGCGCTATTTCTGTACACGAGTGTGTATTTTAGTACAATTCTGACTTATTTGTAATCTAACTTTAACTGAAACTTCGTTTGAAATATACAGTTATGTAAAAATACGTACTTTTAAGAACCCTCAAACCATTTGTTTCGACTTCCTATGGGGTTCAAGCCTTAATTTTGGGGTCAACATCCAACCCCCCTCCTCCCCACCCCATAATTTGCACCCTGGGCAATTCACTTTTTAAGGGAGCGACAGGTTATATTCATAGACATAAAACCCCTAAACCGGCACGACGATCTGAAACGTGGCAAAAATCTGTCTGGTTTAAACTGTGTGTTTTTTCAACAGGGAAAGGAAGATGGTTCAGAATTATTACCAGTCACGTCTTTGCAGTTTCATGCCATCTGAGAGACCCAATTTCCATAAATGCGTCGTTGATCCGAGTGCCAGGAATTATATGCTCGTTTCTCGTAATAGAAACGAGTCACCTTTTTCTTTGAATATCTCCACAGCGTTTTAGAAAGGATGAATCCAGTACATATCGGTGTAGTTTTAACAGTGAACTGGTCGTGTACTTACAAACAGTTTCAAATGCGCAAATACAGTTTTGTATATTCCATTATCTATGAGGTGCTTGTCATTGATCCATATTAATCCCGTACCGCGCCCAGCACGACCGCTATCCGTTGTTACCAATCTGAAAACACGAATCTCCACCACCGACCCGCGGTGCAGAATGCGTGCGGGCTCTGCGCAGCTCCAGCTCGGCCACTTGTGTGCATTTCCGTACCGAGTTAAGGCATTCGTTTACTGCGCAAGGCAGCTCCACACAAAATATTCACAAACGAACGCGATGCGGCAGTTAATTGCTCAGTTACGGAGCTGATTCAGAAGTTCCAGTTTCCCGAAGAGCCGGCCGGTGAATGCCGGTGGTGCCCCCACCCCCATTACACCTAATCACGGGAATGGGGTTGTGGAAAGGCGAAAGGAAAGCTTTTCTGATTGGTCTGTTAACGTTAGACCATACAAGAGATAATAACACACACAGAGACAACGATTATGTGGAATGTATCTGTGACAGCCTGTTAAAAACTGACGTGTTATAGAAACTGTTTGCAATTACTATGCTAATTTACACGTTCAATTATTGTGTCAGTGCACACAGAGCGGGAGCACTTTATGTTAGACAAATTACCACCGTTAAAACAAAACGAATACATTTGGCAAACTGATATTTACCTCTAGGGGAAAAGTGCTCAGAACCAAAGCTAGTCATAGGCTTGATTCAGCACCATGGACAGAGATGAATGAAGTACCACTTTTGGTCTTTTTGGAGGATCTGCAAGAACACTTTTGAAGATGAATTTGGGGACCATTAAAAGAACAGTTCACCCAAAATGAAATTAAACTTGTAATTAGACTTGTAAATTATTGTGATGTTTTCTTTTTATCATCTGTTTGGACTCTCATTCTGACGGCCCCCATTCACTGCAGAGGATCCATTGGTATACAAGGATGTAATGCTAACTTTCTCCAAATCTGTTCTGATGAAGACGCATACTGAGGGTTTTCAGCAAATTTTCAGTTTTAGGTGAGCTATTCCTAGTCAATATACATTTTAAAGTTTACCATGATTTTTTGTCTCCTTTTGATGTGATTTTGGTATTACTGGCACAATTGCCCATCTTCTCCCTGAAATTGCACAATTCTTACAGTTTGTATCCTTCTGTATCCTTAATCATGGCCAGGGTTATACTGTCCCAGGTCTCTTTGAATTCCTCAGACAGACAGGCTCTGGCCGACAGATCATTTAATAACACTGTAACAGTCTGCTGGAGTGCAGGGGCATAGCTCTGGATCTACCCATGCATGTCTAATCAAGAATTGAGCCCATGATTGAGCACGACTCCCCTACCTGGACTGCTCCAGTGCCTTCTGCTTTCCTCTGAAAGTTATTTGATATCACATATCCAAATTAGCACAACTATATTTTACATGTGGTTTATTGAAATCCACAGTGTGGTTGTTCAGATGGATGTTATGTTTCTTCTTCCTGCCTCTAACCTTTGACCTAAGCTGTAGACACAAAAGAAGGACTTGTAATGATCATCACTGTTTTATATGGTTATTGCCATGGTAACCATTGCTGATGCCTCCTGTAGCCCATGATTTGCCATATCATTTCAGCAAACCGACAAAGAGTGGTTTCCATGGTTACAGCTTTAGGGCACCATTGTGACTTCACAGCTGAAAGTGCTGGTTGTGTTTAGTATCTGTAATACCTGCCTGAGTAAATGTTTGGACTCATGTTGTATTTTTGCTCCTGCGGTATATTGTGCCGGCAATACATGGAGCAAATAATGGGCTTGATTCCTAGGGAATGCACAGGCAAAATATGTAACTTGAATGCAAAAGTTGCTTTGGATAAATGATTCTGCCAAATGCATAAATGGAAATATACAAATGCAAAAATGCGACACAGAAAGTGGAAAGTCTAGGCTGACTTTATTTTGGGAGATTGGAGAAGAACTGAAGTTTGTTACCGTAAAAAGGTAGCGAAGGTTCAGTTTTCACAGAGGTGGGAGTGTGCCTCTGGTTGTTTGGTCTCCTGCAGTAAATTTACAATAGTTTCTGGAAAGAGTCAAAGATCAGAGCTCGAATCTCACTTGAGCTGTACTGCGTTCAGAGAAAATATGAACTGAATAAGGCTCAGTTTGCTTGCTGTGCAGTGGAGTCTGGGGAAAAGTTGATATGAGAAGAAAGAGGAGGAGACCTGGATCGAGAGGAGAGGGGAAAAAGAGATAGAGTGAGAGGGAAAGAGCGTAAGAGTGATGGCAGGGAGAGAGAGAAGGAGAGAGATGCAGAGAAAGGCAGGGAGGAGAGAAAATGTGAGCTGAATGTCAATTATGTCATTTTCCTTCCCTCAATCTTTATCCTTATTTTACCTCAGACTTTTTCCAAATAATTTTCTTAATCAAATTTAATCTTGTTTACTAGGAGAATTCTAAAAATTCTTAGAATTTTTTTATATTTTAGAATCAAAATTATGCAAGATGATATTAGATAATGTCTTTAATTCTATATTTAAGTTCATTTTTATACTGTAATGTTAAGGTTTGTCTTGTTTTAAGCATAAACCTCACCAAATTTTGTTAGGGTTATGCTTAAAACAAAGAAACACATAAATAAATAACATAGATAAATAAACATCGAGATATATTCTCTGTAAACAAGTCTTAAAGGGATAGTTTATTTAAAAATGAAAAACCTCTGTCATCATTTACTAACCCTCATGTCGTTCCAAACCTGCATGTTTTCTTTCCTCTGCAGAATGCAATATATTTTGAATAATGTTGGTGCTTAGCAGAAGAAAGAGATTCATACAGGTTTGGAACACCATGAGGGTGAGTAAATGATGACAGAATTTGTATTTTTGATCTAACTGTCTCTTTAAAGGGGTCATGAACTGCCTTTGTTTTTTATTTTGTACTGTATGAGGTGCAATTATAATGTTATCAAGATTTTTACATAAAAAAACATCATAATTTAGAAGTAGGCCTAATACGCTATTTCCTGTCCTGTTTTGACCCCCCTCATCAAAACGCTCTGTTTGAATAGGCATGGTGGATTGTAGACTCCCAGTGGTATGATTGGCTAACAGTTGTGTATGTTTAACAGCCTACGTCCTACACAGATGGACGCCGCTGTGATTTAGGTTAAAAACGCATAAATACTCAGCACATATCAAACGATTTGTAATAACAAGCAAAGCAATAGTGATCACGTAATGAAAACAATTACTCACGTGGTGCGACATCAGATCCAAATGTCGGCACAGCATCATCTTTTAATTTCAGTTTTTCTGAAAATCCTGCATCAAATTCTCAGTTCATGACCCCTTTAACACAGTGGTCTTTTTTTAATGATATTCAAGGACTTTCTTTCACAAGCTTTTTTCCCTTCAGTTTACTACAGAAAACTTTAATTGCATTAGCTCTTGCTCTTTCTGCCAGGATCTCTGTCCCCATAAACCATACAGTGCAGGCGTTGCTAGACCTTAGTGAGTACAGCTGCTGCAGTAAGCTATTTTTGTTCATTTCACTCTGATTCCCTGTCTTACTAGTCACTAAAAACTTCCCAATTAAATTACAAGAAAAAAAATCAAATCTGTCAGTGGTACTGTTATACATCTACTCACTGATGCACATCAGCTCCTATTTATTTAGGGGGATGACTGAAATTCATAAACTATCCCTCCATTCCTACATCTCTCCATCTGTCTGTCCTTATGACAATTTCATCCCAAGAGGACAAACACAAATAAGGGAGAGATTGAGCGTTATGTGCATTTACAATGTAGGCACTTCATATCTGATGGCAGTAGGCTATAAAACCACTCTATATGTCTCTCTGTCTTTCTCTGAAGGTGACAAAGTCAAGATAACTGAAGCTAACATCAGAAGGAAAAATCTGCAAAGCGACAGAACAGGAAAGGATGTCCACAGTGAATGGGAAATTACACCTTTCTGACAATATTAATCCTGCATCCTGCTGACTCAAACTGGGCACAAGAATTGCATGGTAAACCTCACCACATGCTCACAGGAAGCGCTAAACATATTTACAAATGAGTCATTTCAGGAATAAACACACAAACACATAAGGACATGTTCATATAAACTGGTCATCTCCATGTACTCTATATACAGTATATATATTTCCAGTATATACTGTATATTAAAGGTGAGTTTAGGGTTAAGATTGGAGTGAAGCATAACACAGATACATTGTGCATTGACATGCTATAGATCACTGCACACCGCATTTCCAAGAAGTAGCATTTTCACACAAATATTTATGAATTTTTATGCACCTGTCTTCTAAACACATATCTTGAACTGAATAATAAGAGAACTCTGTACCCACCCACAGTAATAGTACATTCAGCACTTCTTCTCTTTCTGTACTCTCTGAATTTTTCTTTCCTGTCCCTCACTGTTCAGCTCCCTTAACAATAATCTTTAGAAAATATGCAGAAGACTTATATGTCTAATATTTGTTTTGTTTTCCTGGCTCTGCAGTTTTAAAGCAAAAACATCAGCAGAGGCACAGTTTGAAAAAGTGCAGTAAAAGTTGTTTATAATAATGGCAATGCTTTCATTGGCCAGGCAGTTAGATTGAGCTCAGCGGAGGCAAAACGGTAATTTAGAGGGAGATTGAGACATCTGTGCAAGTAGCGCTGGGAACACTGGACCAATGAGCCAAATAGTGTCTTTATCTTCTCTGTCCTTCTCTTTTTTAATTACGGTCTATATAAGGATAGCTTAGATATTAAAAACAATACATGGCCAAACATATATGGACACCTAAACACCACATCTATATGTAGTAGTTCAATATTTAATGTCAAAACCATTGGCATTAATAAGGAGTTTGTCCTCTCTTTGTTTTGGTGTTCCAGTTCATCCCAAACTCTTTCATTAACAGGCCATTTGGTACC